CTGCCAGAGTGTGAAAGTGGCCATGGAGTCAGGTTACTTTTTTTTTTCTTTGAGAGAGGAGTTTGGGGGATTGAGGGTCTGGGTTTTGGGGGTAGCTTTTGTTCTCCTGTGGTCTGGAGTCTCTTCCATGGTGGGTGTGGTGGGGTACTTTATGCTATGGAGAGATTGCGGGGGCAGAGTGCTGCCTCCAGGACAGGGAGGTGTCCTGGCGAGGGGAACTCACTCCAGACTCCAGTCTGGACCCAGAGCAGGGACTGGCACGTGTTCTCTGTAAAGGGCCAGGCAGTAAATATTTTATTATTTTTTTAAAACTAATTCATCTTTGTTTTTAATTGAGGTAATGCTGGTTTATAACATTACATAAGGTGCATGTGTACAGCATTATATTTCTACTTTAGACGTAAATATTTTAGGCTTTGAGAGCCAGGCACGCCCAACCCTCCTGTTATAGCAACAGCAGGCAGATGTCAACAAGAGTGTGGCTGTGTGTCAATAAAACTTTATTTATGGGCACTGAACTTTGAACTTCTTAGAAGTTTTAGGCATCATGAAATATGACGCTTCTTTTGATATTTTCTGACGATTTAAAACACAACCTTAATCACAGGTGTACAGAAACAGGTGACAGGCTGCACTTGGCCTGGGGACCATGTTCTGCCCACCTGTTCTGGAGTCAAGGCCAATGAAAGGAGTGAACCTTTCCATCTAGGGTGTCAGTGCAGCCACCTGGGGTAGGAGGGGGTTTAGGAAAAGTGCTTCTCCATTGTACCAACTCTGCAGCCTCAGGCAAGTTACAGGAGTTCAATGTGCATCTATTTCTCCATCCATACTGTGGGACTATGACTAATCCCTAGCTTGGAGGATGCGAAGGCATGATCCATTGACGCCACTTAGGACAGGGAAGTCTCCACTAAATATTAGCCATCATTGCTATGATTACTATCATGGCTAATGCTGTAACTGGGATGCAAAAAGATGCAAAATCCCAGAGACAGTTTGTCATGCTTCTTTCTTCCAGGGACAGCAGTGATTTTGAGGGTACTGAGGGGGTCCCTGGGTCCGCCCTCCCAATCTGCTCATTTTAGAGTCTTAAGTGTTCAGAGTTGGAACCTCTTATTCCAACAAGATAAGTTGGGATCTTATCTGCAGCCACTATTACAGAGCCACCTCCAACCAGTGAGATTTCAACTGCATCCAAACGCATTAAAAGTTCTGGAGATGTCCTTGGTTCCCTCCTATATCTAATTAAGACTTTGCATCCTGACACTCTCCACCATGTATGTATCTGGATGCCTCCATGCCTGCTCCTTTCTTCTCTTTGTCCTTCTCCATCTCCTCTTCCAACAGTTATCAAATACTCGTACCTGGCTTGGCTTGAGGTCCCTAGAGGCAGGCAACAGATCTTAGGCATCTTTGCATCCCAAGCATTCCAAGCCCACACGAGCATCCAATCAGCATTTGTAAAATTGAATTGGCCGTTTGTTCCCACACTTGGTTCTCGTCAACACAGCACTCTTCTCCAGTCATCTGTGCTTCCTCCAGATGCTCTCCTTGTGCCAGGTGCTTCCGGCTGCTACAACATCCTAACCCACATTTGCCTCCGTGCCCACATCACTCGGTGCCTCACCAGCAATTAAAGAGGTTTAACCAAGGGGGCTTCCCTGGTGGCGCAGTGGTTAAGAATCCGCCTGCCAACGCAGGAGACGTGGGTTCAATCCCTGGTCCGGGAAGATCCCACATGCCGCAGAGCAACTAAGCCTGTGAGCCACAACTACTGAGCCCGCGTGCCACAACAAATGAAGCCCACACACCTAGAGCCCGTGCTCCACAACAAGAGAAGCCACCACAATGAGAAGCCCACGCACTGCCCCCGCTCGCCGCAACTAGAGAAAGCCCATGTGCAGCAACGAAGACCCAACGCTGCCAAAGATAATAAATAAATAAATAAATAAATAAATTTTAAAAAATAAAATAAAATAAAGAGGTTTAACCAAATCTCCAAAGAACGTAACAGGATGAACCAGCTGGCCTGGGCAGGCTCGCACGTGAACTCTGCCACGGAGAGGGAGTGTTTATTTCGGCAGACAGTGAACTCAGAGATGAACACGGCCAGAGCCCGATGAGGTCAACATACAGGAAAGGAAGTAAAATTTTCCATTCCAGTTCAGCCATGACTAAAGTTATCAGGAACCAGTGCAATAACTATGAGTTTGAAGTGCTTTGCATGGGTAAATCTCTCTGCAGATCTGGGCTTTTATTTTCCCATATGTTCTTACTTTAGCTTTCATAAGACTCCAACAGCTACAACGGCAGAAAAAGTGATTCAAAGCATGTTCAGCATAATTTTGTCCGTTTAATGAGCAAACACTCAATAGTACATATTGGGTGTCAGGTACCATTCTAAGAACTTTATGTATGACACAATGCTGCCTTTCATTCATTTATTCATTCATTCAATAAAAATAAATTGGATGTATTCTGTGAAACCACACTGTGCTAGGAATGAAAGAGGCATCGGATACAGTTTTTTTTTCCTCTCTCTCATGGGCTTAGTGGGAGAGACAGACAAAGAAATCAACAGCACAATGTCTGGAATAGGGGCACGGGCAGCAGGTATCATTTGTCCCGAGGCTGAGAAGAAGAGCGTGTAACCTGCCCTGAGTAGGTGATGTTTACACCGACTCCTGAAGGGTGCGTGCAGGGCTGCAACAGGAGGGGCAGGGTCCCGGGAGGAGCCTGTGCACAGGACTGAGGGAGCAGCAAGCGCTACCCCACAAGCCTAGAGCAGAGGGTGTGGATCTGAGCCTGAGGCGGGGTCTCAGCCTGCTCAGGCTGCCATACAAAAAGCCACGGACTGGGGCGGGGCTGAAACAACATTTATTTTCTCACAGCTCTGAGCCTAAGGTGCAAGATCAAGGTGTCGGCAGTTTAGGTACCGCCTGAGGCCTCTCTTTGGCTTTTAGATGCTGCTGTCTTGCTCTGTCCTCACATGGCCATCCTTCTGGGCAAGACTGTCAGGTGTCTCTTCCTCTACTTATAGGGACACCCATCCTATTGGGTGAGGGCCCCTCCCTAGAGGGACACAATTCGTCTGAATGCCACGAGAAGGAAGAGGGCTGGAGGGGGTGAGGCCGGTACGGCAGCTTCTGAAATAGTCCAGGGGAAGAGTGATGGGAAGCTAAGTGAACAGCAGCATTGGGCGTGGAAAGCAAGCAGGAGAGTCGAGATTTGTATCAGTAGAAGAATCTGCAGACGGAGGCAGCCAGTCGGCTGGGAGGACACGGGTGGAGGGAGGAGGTCAGAGGGTGGGGTGACTCGAAAGTTCTGAACCGAAGGATGGCGATGCTTCCTGGCATGAGGAACAGTGTAGGAGGAGAGCATCTGGAGGTGGAAGGAAGATGGTGAGTGAAAAGTGCCAGCAGAAAGCCACGGGGAGAGTTTAGCAGGGAGCTGGGATGTTGGTCTAAGAAGCTGGAAACAGGTCTGGCCTGGAGCTAGAGATTTGGGAACCATCCGCTAGCTTGGGGCCAAAGATTAGCAGCCAAGGATTCGAACAAGGTCACCCAGAGAAAGAGAAGGTGGCCAAGGACAGCCCCCTGGGACTCAGGAAAAGGAGTGGCCTGAGAAGTGGGAGGAAAACCCGGAGGTGAGAGGGAGCTGGCGCTGACCAAATGTGGGCCTGCCCTGAGCCAGGCACCGTGCGAGGTGCGGTGACAGCATCTCATGTGACTCTTACAGAAGTGCGCTCTTGTAGGCGTAAAGCAGACACTTAAAGAGCACTTACCGTGTGCCAGGCACTGTTCACAGTAACCTGTGGTGGACCATCGAGTTCCCACCAAGCCTCACCCTTTCCACCTGAGGAAACTGCAGCACACAGGGGTGATTGCTCACGTTGCAGAGCTAGACACGGAACTGGGTTCCGGCTGATGAGGCCCCGAAGGCTGAGCTCAGAGCCACATTGCTATTCTGCCTCCACCCGCCTCGCACTGATTTTAGGGGTGAGAAAGTCAAGGACCAGAGAGGTGAAGACGACATGGCTAGTCAGTGTCAGAGTCAGGTTTCAAACTGAAATCTTTGATTGGAACAGTTGCTAATCCGGGGGTGAGGGGGGGGCAGCCAAGAAACCACCTGAGGCGAGATTAAAGGGACCAGAGGAGCTCAGCAAGATTAGGAGGCGGCCACCTGAGAGGAGTTCAAGGGAGTGCAGGCCCTACTCGCGCCCGAATCCTCTCAGCAGCCCCACCCTTGAACCATTGTTATCAAACCCCTCATGAGGTCGGGACACGGAGGGCACGAGCCTGCTGTGGCCCCCTCTGCCTGGCAGAGTAATAAAGCTATTCTGTGCTACTCCACCCGAAGCTCTGTCTCCGAGATGCCACTGGGCACCGGTGTGCAGAGGCTGAGATTTTGGCAGCAAATTCAGGGGAAGGAATGGTGCCGGGAAAGGCTGAGAGGGGGGGAAACGCAGGAAATGATCTGGAAGCGAAAAAGCAGAAACTGAGATTAGGAGACGGTGGTTGGCAACTGACTCCAACTTGGGGGCGGGGCGTGGAGACGAGGTGAGAGGTCCAGCACTGCCCGGACGAGCCGGGCCCTGGTGGGGAGCGGGGAGAGGGACGCGCGCCTCCCTCTGACCAGTGCGATGAAGTGTGGTGCTTTGGGGGAGGGTGGGAGCTGCACGCCCTCCCTCCCACCGCGGGCCAGACCCGGCACCCCCGGTGGAGTCTCCCGCACCCCCCTCAGCCTCTCCCCACTCCCCCTCCCGGCAGCGTCCCCCCACCTCCGGCAGTGTCCGTCCCCGGCAGTGTCCACCCGCCCGGCAGTGTCCCCCCCACTCTGGCAGTGTCCCCACCGGCAGCGTGTCCCCTCCCAGGCAGTGTCCAGGCAGGGGCGGGACCAGCCCCAGGCGTGGAGCAGCGCACCCCAGGGGGATGAGTAACCCTTGGCTGCCAGCGGGCGCTGCCAAGTCCTGAGATGCCGAAACGCGCCCTGAGCGTCTGGGGTCGTGCCCGAGGGCCGGGAGGGGCGCGGGGCGGATAAAAGGGCCGCGCGGCGCCGGGGCCGCTTTCTCCGCGCGGTGCCTGCAGAGCTTCGCTCCTCGCCGGCGGGCAGGCGGCCCGGCAGCACCTGAGCGGCGACCCGGGCGCGGGGCCGACCGAGTCGGGGCGCCCGGCCCCTGTCGGGGTCCATCGACGGCAGGAGCGCGGGCCGGGCCATGGCGGGTCTGGAAAGCGCGCCGGCGGCCAGGCCGAGCCTGACCTCCATCTCGTCGGGGGAGCTGCGCAGCCTGTGGACGTGCGACTGCGAGCTGGCCCTGCTGCCCCTGGCCCAGCTGCTGCGCCTGCAGCCCGGCGCCTTCCAGCTGCGCGGCGACCAGCTGGTGGTCCCGGGCCCCGCGGAGCCCGCGGAACCCGCGGCCACGCGCGGGGGCTTTAACGTCTTCAGCGACGGCCTCGTGCGCCTCGACGGACAGCTCTACCGCCTCAGCAGCTACATCAGGAGGTGGGTGGGCCCGCCGCCTGGTCCCCGCCGCCTGGTCCCTGCCGAGGCCTTCACCCCGCTGCCCATCCCAGTCCTCTGGCCTCACTTCCTGAGATCCAGCCTGGATCTCCTCCTTCATCACATTTTCAGATTTTTCTCATTGCTAACGTCACTCGGAGGTGCAAAACTCCCCCCCCCCCCCCCCCCCGCCCTGCCCCGCCCCCGGCCCTGGCTTTCTCTGCCCCTGGCACTGACGTTCTGCAGCTGTCCAAGCTGCCCCGGGAGGGCACTGGGCAGGCGCCTGAGGGAGAGCAGGGTGGGGAGTGCGTGAACTGGTGGATGAGTCTTCCTTCTGGCCCCTTAACTGGATCAAATGAGCTCAAATTGGGGGCACACCCTTTGGGGATGTTGCTCAGCAGAGACTCACACCCTGGCTTTAGAATTGGGGGAAGGGAAGGGGAGAGGATGTTCTCTTCCGTGCCCTAGGAGCTTTATCCAGTGAGGAGGCCCGGGGAGAAGCGTGCAGAAGTTTAAAGTTTCCCATCTTTGGCCTCAGTGAGTTTTCAAAAAATAAATCAATTAACGGTGGCTGAGAAGGGACCAGAGACCCGTGAAGTCCAGCCCAGGGCCGTGTGGGCTGTCGAGTGGGCAGTTCAGTTCTGGGAAAATGAGAGGGATGAGTGTGGCTTCCAGGATCCGGGGACAGAGCTTGGGCCAAACCGAATTTGATGGAGGGTCACAGGATGCTTGACTGTGGTGGCCAAAGTGCCTGAAGCCCTTCCTAGCAGACTCGAAGCCAGCAGGGATGTCGTCTATCGGAGGCAGGCTTTGACGGGGTAAAGGAGGAGGGAGCTTCACGCTGCATTCTGCGCCTCTTGCTACCAGAGGTCACCTTGTGCCTCCAGAGGTCGGGGGCTGGGGGGGGCAGGCGGGTGGTGGTGCTTATATTTGTGTTGCAGAGCTGAGTGCTGGGAAGCGGGCAGTGCAGTCTCGAGGTTGGTTCAGAGGTGGGGAAGCTGGCCAGCTATTAAGATAGAAAGCCTTAGCTCCGGGGAAAGACAAGGGCCAGGGTCACCCTGTGGGTGGGACCAAGCCAAGAGGGGGGAAGCAAACAAAATGAGATGTTTAAAATACCTTCTTCAAAGCTGCTGGGGAAAACCTTGCTTTTTCACACAAAGATACTGAGGGCTTTGAGGGCCTGAAAAACCATTCCCCAGCAAGAATTTCTCCCTTTCTTAGTGAATTGAAAATTCCAAGCCATAAGCAGGGGGCGGTGGGAGGAACTGAGTTAGAAATAAGATTTGCAAAGATTTTAAAAGAAGATAACCGTTGTATTAACAGAGTATGAAAAATTTAAATGTCCAGAATTAATTGAAGCTATAGGTTAGGCTTTGACAGAGTCAGCTCTCCCAGTCTCAGCAAACAATGCTGCGAAGCTTACAATGGTTTTGAAGTCTGGTTGTTCAACTCTTGCTTTGAATATCTCCTCCCCGAAGGAACAGCAGCGTTCCCCTGGCAGTTCAGAGTCCAGAATAAACAATGACCAGGTGACACAGACCAGGGTGCAAACAGGAATCAGCAAATACAAGGTTCTCGTTGTCTAAGCAATCGTGTGAAGGCTTTGGTACCCTGGGAGTACCAAGGCGCCCCTGAGAATAATTGGGGAGGTGGAAGGAACAACCTGTCTTCCTCTCAGGGAACGCACTATGCAAGCACAGCAGCCCCTTATACCTGGGTGTACAGTCCTGGAGGACGATAGGGAACCTGGTCTGAATGGAGAGAGCCTTCTAGAAAGAGGGGGAAGACGGCTGTGGACAGCAGTGAGAGGTTTTGCTCTCATGCATCAGGAGTGGGGTGCATAGTCGAACACAGCTGTCTGAAGTGGCCGCTCCTCAAATGGACACAGATTTACCCAGTTGTGTGGAGATAGCACACAACTTCCTCTCTCAAAAAGCAGTACTTCATTTCTTTCTTTCTCTCTTCAGTCCTTCCTTCCCCTCTCTCTCTCTCCCTCCCTTCCTTCCTTCAATAAGCTCTAGTTTAGTTGAAGAAGAATTTTACGCGGTTTCCTTTTTACCAGTGAGTTCTGGCGCACTTCTAAAGACCCCAGAATCACGCGGCTCAGGGACAGCCCCTTGCATACTCTGCAGTATTTCTTTCAGGCTCTGCCCAGTTCAGTGTCGTTGCCCCTGTGGTCCTGGACACCAGTTTTGGCTGACGTGGCATATTTCCTCGAGGTCAGGCAGTTCTTGGCGAGGATGGCCAGTTTTGCTTTGCCTTCCTAGTGTATCATCTTCAGAGTCACCTTGTACCCCACCATGCACTTTCCACTTTTTATAACACCCTGGGGCCTAGAGTTGATGGACTCCAGTGGCGTTTTTGTCTTCTTTGTGGCCCATATTCCTGCCTTAGGTGTGGGATGGTCCCCAACCAAGAGCAGCTGCCGAGATGGCTGGAGAGTAAGAAACACAGGGTGATGATTCTTAATCGTTTTGGACCATCAAGCTTTTGAGAATCGTAGGTAGACCTTCTTGCCAGAAAGGTCGAGATACACCTAATGTTGCTGACCATGCCGGTAGTTTATGAGATGCTTGGATCCAGGTTAAGAATCCTTCCTCTTTATTTAGTTCTTTTGGTTTTCTTTGAATCATTCAACAAATATTTTGGTGTGGGATAAGCCCACAGCATAAGCAGGATTTCTTCTCGTGGCCTCAGAAGTGTGTGCTGTGACTTTCACAAGGTCCTTTCCCAGAGAACCCCAAGAGGCTAAGAGCTCCTGACGCTGACATTCATACGATTCACGTGCTCAGAGAGTAAGAGGAGATTTCAGTGGTTCTACGCGCTCTGGTTTGTTTCGTAATACTGGAACATTTTCCTAAATATGTACCTGCTAAATAAGCCTCAGGAAAACTAGGGTGGTGGGAAGGCCTAGTGGTGGCACCCAGTCCTGAGAGCCTGCTTGAAATTTCCTTGTCCTCCCGTCGGGGATTTATGGCAAGATCTTTATTGCTATTTTTTTCTTTCAAGCTCAGGATTCCCACCCATGTTACAAACGAAACTTGCTCAGGGTTCCAGGTGCAAATTACCATTAACTACCACACACACACACACACACACACACACACACACACACCCTCCCTTACCTCTTTTTCCTATAACGCAGCCTTTTAGTGGGATGGAATGGCAAACATTTGACAAAGAGGAGCTCTAATTCCCTGTTTTCAGTGGTCCTCTAGCATGAAAGAGGCTGCTTGGGTAATAAAAATAAGAACAATAATAGTGGTGGCCACTAATGCTTACTTGAGTACCAGCAATGGGTGCAAAGTATTTCACAGCTATCTCACAAAAGCTGACAAAGTCGGCACCATTGTCTGTTTCCCTTTTTTACAGATGAGAAAATTAGGACTCAGAGAGATTAAATAGTTTCCCTGGGTGAGATGCTGGTGAGCTGCGGGACCGGGGCCTCTCCACAGCGTTTAGCTATAACCATGCAGCCCACCCTGTCAGCAAACTGCCTCGAACCTGGAATAATTCTGGCTTCCTGTAGACCACAGCGGCTTTCTTATAGATTTCCGGAACCTCAAATTAATAACTGGAATGACGTCAGCCAGTACACATCTTATATAATCAGCCTAAAAGAGAAAGTAAGTCCAGTGGTTTGAAGGAAGCCACTAAAAGCAGTGCTGTGACCTGCTTCTGCCCAGATCTGACCAGCTGTTAGCTGGGTGACAGTCACACCTACCTCGAGATCAGCTGCCTGGGGCAGGGGACACAGGGGAGGAGAGTCAGGGTTGGATCATACTTAGATTTTCACTGGGGGGAGGTGCTTGGGCTCTGTCTGTGGCCCAGGCCACGTCTCAGAAACATCCCTGTATGCAGCCCGGCCACCCTTGCTGTTGCCCTCAGCAAGCCCCCGACCTGTCCTCTGCTTTGGTCCGCATGTCTGAGTCTTGGATTTGATGACCTGCCCAGGACAGCAGCCCCTAAACAGGACTTATAGTGATATTGATGAATTATAATCTCTCACGTGTTGAGCTATGATTTTTACGGGATTCACTTCGGAGTAAGTGTGGACAGGCATGAACGCCAGGACCAGGCTGCCTTGGTTTGAGTCCTAGTTCTGCTGCTTACTAGCTGAGTGACTTGGGAAAGTTACTTAATCTCCGTGACTCAGTCTTCTTAGCTGTAAAATGGGAATAATATTGCCAACAACCTTATAGGGTTGTTGTTCACAATTAAAATGTATGAAGTTCTCAAAACAGTCATTGGTACCTGTTCATCATGGGACAAACGTCAGCTTATGTACCTACCAAGCAACCCCAAGGCCAAGTGCTTCACACACACTATTTCGTCTTTCAGCCACCTCATGGGGTACCTCTTATCAGCCAGATTTTACAGGTGAGGAAATGCATCTCAACAAGGTTAAGAAACTTGCTGAACTCACAGAGACAGGAATCAAACCCAAATCGGTGATTCAAAACAAAGGGCACTAGCCTTTGCTACCTTCTTCCTCCGGAGACTTGCTTTGCCCTTTCAGCTACCCTCCGGTCCTTGCACATGCCTGTCTGTGGGCCTGGATGCCTCCACGTGCAGTCCACAAGGCTTAGCTAAACCAAGACTCCCCCCGGGGTCCCCATCTCCCTCCTGCTTCTGCCCTCCCGTTGGCAGTCTGTTCGGCCCGACGGAACAATCCTTCCTCTGTTCCTGTCCCAGCTCAGCAAGTGGCTCTAGCTCCTAGCCCCTTGGCTTTGCTCCTTCTTAGTTACGTTACTAGGACATGGCCCTGCGGATGCCTGAGTGCAGAGAACTGTGCGTTCTTCTGGCATGTGTGTGTTTGAATGATTAACTCGTTTGTAATCCTCTGAAAAACAGGGACCGTGGCTTAGACCAGTGCTTCTTAAACTTTAAATAAGTTTTTGCAGGTCTCCTTAGGCTCTTGTGAAAATACAGATTTTCGAGCAAATACATTTGGAGAGGGACCCAGGATTCTGCAGGTTTGCAAGCTCCCCCGTGATGCCAGTACTGTTGGTCCAATGATCAGACTTTAAGCAACAAGGCCTTAGATGTGTATCATTTCATATTGAAATGATACATTTTCTTAGCTGTCTCCCCAGTAGACTATATGCTTCTGGAAAGTGGGACTGTTTCCTTCTTCGTTTTGTGTCCCCGGTGCCCAGCACATAGTAGGTGCTCAGTAAATGTTTCTTGCACGAATGAATGAATGAACACGTGTATCGTTGATTAGAGTTACAGATGTTAGAGTGATAAATCTGAAATTTTTGCTTATTTAACTAGAGTTGGGGCAGAAGAAGGAGGTGAGGGAGTGAACAGAAGGAATTGTTTAAGTGTGTAGGGAAGGCTTTGCATAAAACTAACAAGTTAACACTGGAAAGAATGTCCCTGTAAGCTTTTGCTTAGTCACAGCAAAGGACTGTGGAAGCTGTTAGCAATTTCTGGCCCTTTTACACAAGGACTATTCCAATATATTTCTCTTTTTATCTGCTCCTTCCTCCATACTTTAAAAAATGAACACACACACACACACACACACACACACACACACACACACGAGATGGGAGCCGTGTGTCCGAATTCCTGTTTGTCTTTGAGCATTCAGTCATCAGGGACCAGGGAAATTTGGAGCAGCTTTTCAAGTCATGCTAAAGATGATGTAAAATTTGAAGAAAACTCTGGAGAAGCGTTGGCATCTTAGAGGATGGGTGATCTTTCAGCTACTCCTGATTTGCTAGAAGCAAAAATTCAATGTTCTGTCTTGGTCCCATCTTTCAGGTGTTGCCTTCGTTAAACTGCTCCCTCTAGCCTTCCAAACTGAAAAGATGAGGAAAGAAATTGGAGCAAGGAAAGAGAAACCCTTACTTATTTTTTAGATATTCATATAGTCCTCCTTTCCTGGTCACTCAAATGAACACAGCCCTGGTTGTGTGTCAGAAGCTTACAGAACTTCACGCTAAGGCCAGCGGAGTTGGCCAGAATTAAAGACACTAATAATGTTTGTTGAGCATCTACTATGGGCCCAAGTACATACGTCTATGTTACTGGCACTGCATTACATCATCAAATGGAAGGCAATACCGTTATATCCCTTTTACAGATGAGGGGATGGGTTCAGTGGGTTAAGTAACTCACTGAAGGTCATAATGAGTTGTGGCTCTGGGACTGAGTTCACACAGCCAGTCAATTAGAACGTGAATTAAATCTTCTTATTTCGAACACTATGCTTTCTATCACATTGTTCTGCCTTTCAATCTTTGGATTAAAGCCAGGTGTAGAAAGTTCCAGCCTAGCAGCATTTTGGGGCCAGGATAAAAGCAATGAAGAAATGAGAGTTTAAAGGAACTATCTTAAACTGTTTGCTTCTCATCCCTAATGAAAACTTCAGCGAATAGAATAAATATCTAGGACACAGAAGCAATATTTGCATGAGTAATTCATAAATATGCATGATTGAAGATGAGATAACTGGTCCCTAAGGTCGTCTAGTCAGGCTCATCTTGAAACAAAACTGGTGGTTGAATGTCAGGTACTTGAAGACCTGTGAGATTTAGCAACTAGGTCCTCAATCTTTGTATTTTAGTGACTTACATATCCAGATTTCATACCAGTGAATTCCAAAGGGATGCTCACATGTATTTATTCCACTGCAATTTTGAGGTGTTTAACAATTGGACAGTAACCGGGAGGCTGGGGATGGATGAATTAAGGAAGTGGTTCTTATTTGTGACCTGGTTTAAACGGAGGGTTAAGTAGGGATCTTGCCGCAATCTCTCGTCTGTACATGGTGTTATCAGAGCTCTCGAGTGAGCAGCCTTTTCCCACATCTGTGGCACAGTGATAACTGGCGATGCTCTGTGATGATGTTTACAGCCCTGTTAAGATCCGAAAAGTGCCTCTGAATCATCAAAGGAAGATTAAGTTATGTTGAGCATAGTCTTATGATTCAGGATATCTTATTAAATTCAGACTCCAAAAGAGGTGACCCATGGATAGGTTCTGCATTAAACTCAATACATAACTCCAGAAGATGCCCCCTTTCCCCTTCCCCACCCAGTCTCCCTTCTTTGATCAGGCCGAATAACAGCTCTCTGGGCCCTACAGCAGTCAAAAAAGTCTTCCAGAGAATTTGGTGGAAAACTGATGATTTTTCCAACCAGGGATCATTTCCAAGTTGAGATTTTTATCTTCCTCCTGCCAGTGATGCCTCCAATGAGATGTCAGTCGACGTTGTAGGCAGAGGCAAGTACTGCACTGCCGTTTGGGTCATCAGAATAGTATTCAAAGCTGCAGATTTTCTGGGTGTCCTGTACACACGCGCACCATGTCCATGCCCTAGAGGGTGACAGTCAGACTGTGGGTATTGAGAGAGTAGAGCAATCACTGTGAGGGAAATATTAAGTGCTTAAATGACGATAAATGAACTCCATGATACACAAGGTGGGAGAACGTGAAAATTGCTTTGGATGGATCACAGGTGGTACCCGACCCCCAGCCAGCATCGTGCATCTGTCTCTTTGATGTTTAGTCCAATCAGGCTTGCCCTTCTTTTGCTAAAGGCTCTTCTTCCTGCTTTCTCCCCCTGCCCCTCCCCACACCCCCTGCAACCACAGGCCTCACAGGCCGGCCTCTCCTCTACCACTGCCCAGGTCTCTCTGCCCACCTGGGCCAGGTCCTTGGGAGCTGAATAGATGGATGGTGGAAGGGTGGGGCGCACAAGGGGCCCCTGTACTGCCGCCCTGCTACCCCATCCCCAATTCCTGGACCCTGAGCTCCTCAGATGTGCAAGGCACGTGTCAGCACACCATCCGGTGCTTAGTGAATGCTGCTGAATGAGAGTGAGTGAACCCAGCAAATCGTGGTTCCCTTTCTCCTTCCTTCTCCTTCGCTTCCTTTCTCCAGTACCTTTTGGCAGTTGGTCAGTTGGGACAAAGAACAGGAAAATTCTCCCTCTGCTGATGTGGGACACAGTGCCGCTCCCGCCAGGTGCCCCTTTACCCCATCCTCACTGTGCACTGCTCTGCCCAGAGGAGGATGGGGGTAGGGGAGGCACGGAGGGAGAACCCTAGGAAATCCCTGGTCTGTGTCTGCATTATCATACCCAGTCCATGCCACTGCTAACCCCCTTCTCCATTCCCACCCTCCTCTCCCCTCGCGCCCACACCCCTGAACAGCGACACCTGCACCCACTCTCCGTCCCCGGGTGCACCAGCCTGTGTGCCCCTCCCCACCGCAGGACCAGCCCCCTAACTAGCCACGTGCCCCGGGTTGGGAGATGGACGCTACATTAAAAGCCTGGTGAAATAGAAGGCAGGAAGCATTTTAGATGCTCCATCGGGGGTCAGGTTTTAAAAGCCCTCAAAATCAGATCTGACAATCCAAGAAAAAAGGACACAGATTTCTAAGAAACCAAGCTGGAGGCAGACAGTGGAAGCTGTTTTTTCCTGACTCGGGGGGTGGATATTCTCCCACTGCTTTTGACCCAGGCCTGGGTCCCCGTCTCGTGCTCCGGCCCCTCTAAGTGGGCTGTGGGGAGAGGACAATGGGGAAGGAGGCTGAGGGGACTTTGCGGCCAGAGCTCTCTGCTGCGGGCGCTCCCCAGGGCTGGTATTTTCATGTCAGTCTCTGGAAGGACAAGAAGCTGGAAAGAAACAGGGGAGCCGTCTCTGCAGGGGACTAGATGTCAGAAGCCAACATGCGGCCCTTTAGCAAAAGCAGCCCATTCAGTCCATGCAGACCTTGCAGTAGTGCCAGTCAGTGGGGAAGCCGCTGTGTCTTGAAGAGGGACTGGGGTATCCACATCCCCCAGCATGCTGGATGCCACTCAGCCTGCCCGTGTCCATGCCGCTTCTGAGCTTGGGTTTGGTTAGAAAATTAGCGTTCTTTTTGAAGGAAGCCAATTTGCACTTGCATCTGTCTTTTTTAAAATCAACAGTGCAGGTAGAGACACAGAAAGGCTGCTTGGAAAATGTGCAGAGTAGGGAGACAAAGCTATCATATTGGAGGACAGAGTCAAGAAACACAAAGATCTTCCTGGGCTGCAATAATGAACTAACACCAAGGAGGCTAAATGTAATAGGGCCCTGGGCAGAAATCCAACATGAGTTTTGTTTTTTGGTTTTTTTTAATTGCACAAGCTCACGATCAGGGAGATGTGAATTGGTTCATATGAATATTGGTTGATTGTCTAATCAATGGAGCCGTCTGGGTTTATCCTGGGATTAGAGAAGGAAAGGAAAATTTCAGACCCACCAGTTAGGATGACTACACTGGAGAAGACCCAGAAAATTCCACTTATTGAGTAGAATTCATTCTCAACCCAGAGAGACATAGGGCTCCGGTAGCTTCAAATGAACGCTTACAGCCCAAAGATAGACGGTACTAGCCATCATCTGGTCCAGGCTGCCCTTGAGAGCCAGGTATTGGTGCCAGGCACCCCCAGGACCAGGGCCACCTTTAGTTTGCATGCTGATCAGGGGAGGGGATTTATTTATTTGGTACAAGATATGGTTGCCTCCCGAAGGACATTTCAGGGGACTTCCCTCAGAGGGTCTGAGGATGTAGTAGGCACCTGTCCAGTACGTCCCCTTCCTGACCTCGATGGGAAGGTACATCGCACTTGTAATCATCTCTTCTTTTTTCATAGATACGTGGAACTGACCAACTACTGCGATTATAAAGACTACCGGGAAACTATATTGAGCAAACCATTGCTATTCTTTATTAATGTACAGACCAAAAAGGACTCCTCGAAAGGTAGGTTTGTAAATGTTTGGGTTTGGTTCTGCCTTGCTGGACTGTGGACTGTAGCCTGCCGATGAGGTAGAAGTTGGGCGTGGAGAAAGCAGCTTGTGCAAGGCTGGAAGCCTGGTGTGTGAGGCCATCAGCACAGCACAAGCCTGCAGAGCAGACCTCTAAGTGATCCTACGGCAGAAGCCATCTGTCTCTGAGTCTTGTTTCATACTTCCTGTCTAAGCAGGAAGTGATCTCTGAGCCTGCAGGGGTTGCAAAAATGACCAGAGTGATGAAGATGATGATATATAATATTGCCTACCATGTATCAAGCACTTCTGTGAGGCATGTGCTAATGTGAATAATTGGTCAACAGCCCAGTAGGGCATATCATGCAAAGGAGAACATTTTTGAGCATGAAAGCAGGAACTGTAATAAGTATGCTGGGATAAAGGTATAAACTAGAACTGACTCAGGCGTAACCAGGATGCCTGGCCGTCCTGCCTATGCGGTACTTATCCCATCCCCATTTTATACATGAGAAAACTAAGGTAAAGAAAATAAACGCTTACGTAGATGCTTTTATGTTTCACGCTCTGGCCTTCGAATTTCAATTTTAGAGATCTCTCTTTATTGTTTCTTCAGAAATCAGACTGATAACAACTATATTAACTCAAATTCCAATACGAAAATATCTCAGTTTTCCCTTCTCCCCCCCGCTCAGTGATACATGGGGAAAGTCATGGGCATAAGTGCTGTAATAGCAGTAGCGTTTCTTACACTTACTTCTAAATAACGTTCTTCAAATGAGACCAAGAGATTAAGAATTGATCTACAAATTCCAAATAGACTTCCTCAGACATGCCCTTCCTCATTCAGATTCGTTGGACCTGATTCTCTGCTCGTCTCATTCAGAGTCATTCAGATTCCCTTCTCACTTCATACTTCAAAGTCACAATGTCCTTCTTGGCAGGAGGGGCCGGGAACAGATCACACTGTAACAAGCAATGCTCGGTAGAGCATCTGAGCCCCTGATGCTATTTGGCTTGCTGGTGACCAGAAAGCTGAGAATTCTCTAAGAATGTAAAGCACAGATGTATCCAGTATACCTCCCGCATCGATCTCTCAGGAGGGTTCTTAAGAAAGAATAAGAGACCTCTCCATTTTAACATTGTAATGAACATACAGGGAGTGGTAAAAGGAAATATCTGTGGGTGGCCTTGAAAAGATTCGCAGTTATATAATGCTTGTGGAAGGAGGTAGAGAAACCCAGTCCTCCTTGGCTGTGAGGAGAGCCATGCAATGAGGAGATTCTGTGACACAAAGCTTAAGATGCTCAAGTTTAAATTATGAAAATTGTGATTAGGGCAACACGTCCAGCCCTGCTGCTATCCTAAACTTGTACTTTTGTGCAAATTTAGAAGAAGCCACCATTAACTCAAGACAATTTACTAATCCTTCCCAGAAGTTTGTCATAATAAATGTACAAGTAGACAATGTGGAAGCGATTGGCATCCTCTAGAATTGTGCAGTGCACAGCCTGCCCAACCTGCACAACGGTGGATGGAGGGTGGCGGCCTTAAGTATCTAATGAGCCCAAAGGTCTTGGTTTAGTTTATGTGAAAGTTAATTCAAGGTATCAAATAGCTGGCTTGCTTTACTTGCTTATTTATATATTTTCTCAAAGAGGAAATAAGGTAGTTTCTATCTAAAGTGCCCCAAAAAATAATTTGGGAGAAAGGAAAACAGGGGAAGGAAAAAGAAGATGGATAAGGTTAGTGCAAAGGTTAGTTCAAAATGTATTCCCCAGGGATGTAACACTTGCTATTGGTGGACCGCAGGTTTGATGCTCAAAGCCCGTGTAGGATGTTCAGTTCCCCAAATCACATGATGGCTGGTGCATGGCCTTTAAACAAAGGGTGGCATTCTATGTTATGGGTCTTCCTAGAAAAAGTGCTTGAGTAATGAAGGACATGGAGCTTGATTCCGGGGGCTGGAAAAGTTAAGAGGTTGTTGGTTCGCAGTATTTAAAATTTCCTAGGGAGTAAACAACACCCCTTTGCTTAGATTAGATAGAACTGGACAGAATTGGATTTAAACCAAACCAAACCGATCAAATAAAGAACAAAAAACAACTGCCAGGACACAGACGTGGCATTATTTAAACAATGGGAGGGACATTTCTGCTGGGCTTGTCCTGGGCTGGGACGTGGAGGAGAACCAATCTCAGATTACCTTGGTCCTTAGAACTCTAGACTAGCCCTTTGCAGACTGAAAGCCAGGTCTCTGGGGGAGGACAGGGAAAGAGGGAGGGGGAAGCGTCCTTCCCTGGATGGATTTTCTGCTTTGTAAGTGAGGAAATGTGGGTGAGAGCCAAGTTGCTGTTTATCCAGCAAGGCAGTGACACGAAAACCAGCCATCTCCAGTTTTCACTTTGGCTCCCATGCTGGCTGCACACAGAGGAGACTCAGTGCTTATCTGTGATAATTATGGACTGGAACTTTCGATTTCTGAGGCACGAGTGACAAAATGCAGCCTGGGGGGAGCTGATTTTCTAACCTGCGTTGACAGTATCCTGGAGCTTCCTCACGCCTGCAAATTTCTTGGAAACATTTCTAGAAACCTGGTTAGGCTTTGCAGTGAGGGAGCAGCGAGGGAGGTTATAAATTAATAAAATCTCCAAATATGGTGGGAATCACTGCTTTGTCAGATACTAAGAAGTACACATGCAACCTTGTTTTCTGACTTCTACTTCCTAATTTCTAGAAAGAACGTATGCGTTTCTTGTGAACACCAGGCACCCCAAGATAAGAAGACAGATAGAGCAGGGGATGGACATGGTCATTTCCTCAGTGATTGGAGAAAGCTACTGGCTTCAGGTGAGGTTGGCTTGTGTGAATCCAGGGCTGCCAACACACAGAAGCGGGTCTGGGTGTTTCAGGCCAGGACTGAGTCCCTAGAGCTTAACTCTAACTTAAATGAATCCAGACACAGACCTTTTCGATTGCTTCATTATCACTACCAATAAAATGAACTTAGTTTCTAGCAGCTTCTTAGAAATAGGGTAAGAATAAATATAAATTTGACCAAGCAGTTCAAGGTCTTTACATGGATTTTGATGCAAATGCAAAGATTTGTTTTAAAAAAATAAAGGCAACTGACTGAGGGCAGACACCAAAACCAATAGGAACGATGAACCTGCAGCCCATGAAAAGGAGACCCCAAACACAGTAAGTTAAGCAAAATGAGAAGACAGAGAAACACACAGCAGATGAAGCAGCAAGGAAGGAGCAACACACCAGACCAAACAACTGAAGAGGAAATAGGCAGTCTACCTGAAAAAGAATTCAGAGTAATGATAGTAAAGATGATCCAAAGTCTTGGAAATAGAATGGAGGAAATACAAGAAACGTTTAACAAGGACCTAGAAGAACTAAAGAGCAAACAAACAATGATGAACAACACAATAAATGAAATTAAAAATTCTCTAGAAGGGATCAATAGCAGAATAACTGAGGCAGAAGAACGGATAAGTGACCAGGAAGATAAATAGTGGAAATAACTACTGCAGAGCAGAATAAAGAAAAAAGAATGAAAAGAATTGAGGACAGTCTCAGAGACCTCTGGGACAACATTAAATGCACTAACATTCAAATTATAGGGGTCCCAGAAGAAGAAGAGAAAAAGAGAGGGACTGAGAAAATATTTGAAGAGATTATAGTTGAAAACTTCCCTAATATGGGAAAGGAAATAGTCAAGTCCAGGAAGTGCAGAGAGTCCCATACAGGATAAATCCAAGGAGAAACACTCCAAGACACATATTAATCAAACTATCAAAAATTAAATACAAAGAAAACATATTAAAAGCAGCAAGGGAAAAACAACAAATAACTTACAAGGGAATCCCCATAAGGTTAATAGTTGATCTTTCAGCAGAAACTCTGCAAGCCAGAAGGGACTGGCAGGAGATATCTAAAATGATGAAAGGGAAAAACGTAAAACCAAGATTCCTCTACCCAGCAAGGATCTCATTCAGATTTGACGGAGAAATTAAAACCTTTACAGACAAGCAAAAACTACTAGAATTCAGCAACACCAAAACAGCTTTACAACAAATGCTACAGGAACTTCTCTAGGCAGGAAACACAAGAGAAGGAAAAGACCTACAATAACAAACCCAAAACAATTAAGAAAATGGTAATAGGAACATACGTATTGATTACTACCTTAAATGTAAATGGATTAAATGCTCCAACCAAAAGACATAGGCTGGCTGAATGGATACAAAAACAAGACCCGTATATATGCTGTCTACAAGAGGCCCACTTCAGACCTAGGGACACATACAGACTGAAAGTGAGGGGATGGAAAAAGATATTCCATGCAAATGGAAATCAAAAGAAAGCTGGAGTAGCAATTCTCATATCAGACAAAATAGACTTTAAAATAAAGACTATTACAAGAGACAAAGAAGGACACTACATAATGAACAAGGGATCAATCCAAGAAGATGATATAACATTTCTAAATATTTATGCACCCAACATAGGAACACCTCAATACACAAGGCAAATGCTAACAGCCATAAAATTGACAGTAACACAATCCTAGTAGGGGACTTTAACACTCCACTTTCACCAATGGACAGATCATCCAAGATGAAAATAAATAAGGAAACACAAGCTTTAAATGATACATTAAACAAGATGGACTTAATTGATATTTATTGGACATTCCATCCAAAAACAACAGAATACACTTTCTTCTCAAGTGCTCAAGGAACATTCTCCAGGATAGATCATGTCTTGGGTCACAAATCAAGCCTTGGTAAATTTAAGAAAATTGAAATCATATCAAGTATCTTTTCTGACCACACTATGAGACTAGACATCAATTACAGGAAAACAATCTGTAAAAAATGCAAACACATGGAGGGTAAACAATACACTACTAAATTACCAAGAGATCACTGAAGAAATCAAAGAGGAAATCAAAAAATACCTAGAGACAAATGACAGTGAAAACACGATGACCCCAAACCTATGGGATGCAGCAAAAGCAGTTCTAAGAGGGAAGTTTATAGCAATAGAATCCTACCTCAAGGAACAAGAAACATCTCAAATAAACAACCTAACCTTACACCTAAAGCAATTAGAGAAAGAAGAACAAATAAAACCCAGAGTTAGCAGAAGGAAAGAAATCTGAAAAATCAGATCAGAAATAAATGAAAAAGAAATGATGGAAACAGTAGCAAAGATCAATAAAACTAAAAGCTGGTTCTTTGAGAAGATAAACAAAATTGATAAACCATTAGCCAGACTCATAAAGAAAAAAAGGGAGAAGACTCAAATCAATAGAATTAGAAATGAAAAAGGAGAAGTAACAACTGACACTGCAGAAATACAAAGGATCATGAGAGATTGCTACAAGCAAGTATAGGCCAATAAAATGGACAACCTGGAAGAAATGGACAAATTCTTAGACAGGTATAACCTTCTGAGACTGAACCAGGAAGAAATCGAAAAAATAAACAGACCAACTACAAGTACTGAAATTGAGACTGTGATGAAAAATCTTCCAACAAACAAAAGGCCAGGACCAGATGGCTTCACAGGTGAATTCTATCAAACATTTAGAGAAGAGCTAACACCTATCCTTCTCAAACTCTTCCAAAATATAGCAGAGGGAGGAACACTCCTAAACTCATTCTAGGAGGCCACCATCACCTTGATACCAAAACCAGACAAAGATGTCACAAAGAAAGAAAACTACAGACCAATTTCCCTGAGGAACATAGATGCAAAAATCCTCAACAAAATACGAGCAAACAGAATCCAACAGCACATTAAAAGGATAATACACCATGATCAAGTGGGGTTTATCCCAGAAATGCAAGGATTCTTCAACATACGCAAATCAATGTGATAAACCATATTAACAAATTGAAGGAAAAAACAATATGATCATCTCAATAGATGCAGAAAAAGCTTTCAACAACCTTTCAACAGCTTTCAACCTGTTTATGATAAAAACCCTCCAGAAAGTAATCACAGAGGGAAGCTACCTCAACATAATAAAGGCCATGTATGACAAACCCACAGCCAACATCATTTGCAGTGGTGAAAAACTGAACCCATTTTCTCTAAGATCAGGAATAAGACAAGGTTGTCCACTCTCACCACTATTATTCAACATAGTTTTGCAAGTTTGAGCCAGAGCAATGAGAGAAGAAAAAGAAATAAAAGGAACACAAATTGGAAAAGAAGAAGTAAAGCTGTTACTGTTGGCAGATGACATGATACTATACATAGAGAATCCTAAAGAAGCTACCAGAAAACTACTACAGCTAATCAATGAATTTGGTAAAGTAGCAGTATACAGAATTAATGCACAGAAATCTCTTGCATTCCTAAACACTAATGATGAAAACTCTGAAAGAGAAATTAAGGAAACAGTCCCATTTACCATTGCAACAAAAAGAATAAAATACCTAGGAATAAGCCTACCTAAGGAGACAAAAGACTTGTATGCAGAAAACTATAAGACACTATGAAAGAAATTAAAGGTGATATAAACAGATGGAGAGAAATACCATGTTCTTGGATTGGAAGAATCAACACTGTGAAAATGACTATACTACCCAAAGCAATCTACAGATTCAATGCAATCTGTATCAAACTACCAATGGCAGTTTTCACAGAACTACAACAAAAAATTTCACAATGTGTATGGAAACATAAAAGACCCCGAAAAAAAAAAAGACCACGAATAGCCAGAGCAATCTTGAGAAAGAAAAACGGAGCTGAAGGAATCAGGCTCCCTGACTTCAGACTATACTACAAAGCTACAGTAATCAAGACAGTATGGTACTGGCACAAAAACAGAAATATAGATCAATGGAACAGGATAGAAAGCCCAGAGATAAACCCATGCACATATGGTCACCTTATTTATTTTTTATAGCCCTGTTGCTCGCACATGTGAAAGCAACTTCATTGACTGGACTTTTTTTTTTTTTTTGCGGTACGTGGGCCTCTCTCCGTTGTGGCCTCTCCCGCTGTGGAGCACAGGCTCCGGACGCACAGGCTCAGTGGCCATGGCTCACGGGCCCAGCCGCTCTGCGGCATGTGGGATCTTCCTGGACCGGGGCACAAACCCGTGTCCGCTGCATCGGCAGGTGGACTCTCAACCACTGCGCCACCAGGGAAGCCCCCTGGTCACCTTATTTTTGATAAAGGAGGCAAGAATATACAATGGAGAAAAGACAGCCTCTTCAAAAAGTGGTGCTGAGAAAACTGGACAGATACATGTAAAAGAATGAAATTAGAACACTCCCTAACACCATACACATAAATAAACTCCAAATGGATTAAAGACCTAAATGTAAGGCCAGACACTATAAAACTCTACGGGGAAAACATACGCAGAACACTCTATGACATAAATCACAGCAAGATCCTTTTTGACCCAGCTCCTTGAGAAATGGAAATAAAAACAAAAATAAACAAATGGGACCTAATGAAACTTCAAAGCTTTTGCACAGCAAAGGAAACCATAAACAAGACGAAAATACAACCCTCAGAATGGGAGAAAATATTTGCAAATGAAGCAACTGACAAAGGATTAATCCCCAAAATTTACAAGCAGCTCATGCAGCTCAGTATCAAAAAAACAACCCAATCCAAAAATGGGCAGAAGACCTAAATAGACATTTCTTCAAAGAAGATATACAGATTGCCAATAAACACATGAAAGGATGCTCAACATCACTAATCATTAGAGGAATGCAAATCAAAGCTGCAATGAGGTATCACCTCACACTGGTCAGAATGGCCATCATCAAAAAATCTACAAACAATAAATGCTGGAGAGGGTGTGGAGAAAAGGGAACCCTCCTGCACTGTTGGTGAGAATGTAAATTGATACAGTCACTATGGAGAACAGTATGGAGTTTCCTTAAAAAACTAAAAATAGAACTACCATACGACCCAGCAATCCCACTACTGGGCATATACCCTGAGAAAACCATAATTCAAAAAGAGTCATGTACCAAAATGTTCATTGCAGCTCTACTTACAATAGCCAGGACATGGAAGCAACGTAAGTGTCCATCGACAGATGAATGGATAAAGAAGATGTGGCACATATATGCAATGGAATATTACTCAGCCATAGAAAGAAACGAAATTGAGTTATTTGTAGTGAGGTGGATGGACCTAGAGTCTGTCATACAGAGTGAAGTAAGTCAGAAAGAGAAAAACAAATACAGTATGCTAACACATATATATGGAATCTAAAAAAAAAAAAAAGGTTCTGCAGAATCTAGGGACAGGATAGGAATAAAGACGCAGACGTAGAGAATGGACTTGAGGACACGGGGAGGGGGAAGGGTAAGCTGGGATGAAGTGAGAGAGTGGCATGGACTTA